AYACCCTGCTACAGCAAACCGTTGCTTATAAATGCAGTAAAACAAAACCAAAATGTTTTTTCTAATAAATGAAATTACACTTACTGCACACTTTATGCCTGGGAGTGTGAGTATATATGTTGATTTTTTTCTTTATGGATTTAACTCAATGAAGAACAAACAGCAATGCCAATAGTATCTTTATTTAACAAAATAAAAGTCAGACTATATATAACTACATTTTAAAAACCACACAACCACCTAAAAAAGTACTTGAAAGTCCGAACGTAACCGGAGCAGCTCCGGGCGCGGCTCTCCTGTCGCTGCCCAGCCTCTGGCTGCCTCGACACRSATAGCAAYGCAGCTGGTACCGATAGACGCAGRAGAAGGTGGAGAAACGGTCCAGGAGCTCAGCTGGTCGCTTGTCGAAGGTGAATACGGTCATAATTAATTACTAATTACAATAAATGAAGAGYTGGGGCTGTTGTTTTTAGCCTGGATCGCTAACTAGCAATAGCCGCTAACTAGTTAGCATCGGAAACGAACACGCACAGGACACATYGGAACAAACTTTATAAATAAAAGGTACAGTTTCACAAGCAAGACATGTGTCCCATAAATTATGTTCAATCTCTAACTAAATGCACGAAGCACTCACCGTCTGCAGATGAAGTTTGTGAYGAGACCAGTCTACAGTAGCAGCAGCTAGCTAATTAACCGGCGGCTGTAAAGAGCGATCCCCTCCATTTACCCACAGCAGCTCTAGTCCCACGGCATTGAGCCACTCCCGCTGTTGTTGTCCTTCACTGCTCTGAAAACAGGCCCAAGACCGAAAACGGGTGCGGAGTGGGGTGGAGCCAAACCGAACCGCGYAGGTGGAAAAATGCAGCRGGAGGGGTTCCCAGGAGCTCRGCTGAATGAATGAAGCTCRGCACAAGGYCAGATYGTAATAAATGTCTAGTACGCYGTAATRGWTCAGAGCGGGTCTCAACATCGTAATGATTACGGTGAGATYGTAATGGTTGGCACCTCTGTAATTCCTCACAAAAATATGTATAACACCACCACCACAATGTAAAAAGTGAATTTCAGGCACTGGTAAGAACATGTTAATAATAAATCTTAGGCTCTCTCTATGCTTACTGCCTTAACTGCATCTTTAGATTGTGTTTTTTCCCTCTGTAGCATTTTATGTTTTAGCTGTGCACTTTGTGTAATTGAGCAACAGTTTCACCTAGCAATTCTCCTCAGAGACTTATCACTTGGAAGTGGCAGATAAAAGCACAACTATTCAACCGTTAAGCTGATGTTGGACATCTTTGTTTGCCCGTGGCTGCCATCAAACGACGTGTGAATGGAAGAAATTAAACAGAGGACTCACGTCTTCAAAAGAATCGTGCCATCCTTCACTGGTCACAACAAACTGCACTTTATCCGACATGTAGTCCTCGATCACTCTGAGGCAAAGGAAGTAGAGAGCAATGCTGTCAGAACTGARTACATCTTTAGTTTAATTAGGCAAACAGTTAACCATTTAAAGGTTTGGGTTAAGGTGTAAGTCTCCCTCACCCGTTAAAGGCGACGATGTACCGCAGCACCAATCGTCTCTCATTGTTGGGAAATTTACCGTAGAGGAAAAAGTGCTTTCCATTCAGGAAATCTGGGGGGGGAAAAACAGAAACAAGAAGGTGAACAAAGACAGGTGCAGCACAATACACAGGAGAGCAAATTAAAGATGGCTTTTGACAAAAAGGACAAAGCATAAAAACAAACACAACCCAGTTCAGGGTTTGTGTTCGCTTATCGGTTCACTTTTTTTGTCAGCAGTTGAAGTCTCTGATGCAAAAAGGGCGGATCTGCTCCTGAGAGTGGAACACGAACAAAAGACAGGAAGTCACGGAGATAAGAGCAGAAACAGACGTGCCTGGTAGCTCGGGGATGGGATGTTCCTCTTCAGCTTCAGCGTCTGTGTTTTCATCTGTCGACCCTCCGTATGGATCCTCGTCTTTTACTGACGTTTCCCCTTCCGCTGCTTTCCTCTGTCGCCTCTCCTCCATCCTTTTCACAACAAGAAGCTATATTATGACCCATTTTCACACGCTCATCACAAAATACCTGTTTCTAATATCAGCTCTTATTTAAAGGCCCTGTCACACGATAACGTTTTAGACAATTTATGCCAACTTCTGGAAAAATCTTTTCCACTAAATTAACAAAAGTTAGATATTTGATCAATTTGTTAGTGTTACAGTATGTACACGCCTAAAAGATGATTCCAGTTGATTTTTTTTTTTAATTCAGTCTTCAATGTAGACATCTAAAAACTTTTCATAAGTTGGCACAAGTTGCCTAAAACATCACAGTGCGACAGGGCCTTTGACAGTCAAAATAAATAAAATAATGTTGAATTAAAGTGCATATATCCTGCTTGTAAATCCTTCGTTTTCACATTTAAAATCGTTAAGCTGGGGTTTATAAAAAGTGAAACTGCAACATTGGTCTAAATTCCCCCTTGTTGTAACTTTACAAGCCCCTCTTTCACCTTTTTTTCTTGAGGTGTATCTCTGATCAACTCGTTTTGAGGCTGTTTCTTAAATTCAAACATAAAGCTTCATGCCCCGCCCCACTCCAGCTTCCAGAGCAGTCCGTTCTAGTTTGATAGAGGGGTTTATGAAGATATAGCTGCACAGAAACTATTTATTTCTACAAATTATAAGAYGTCAACAAGGGAAGTCTTGTCCATCCAGCCTCATATGTTGGAGCCAGAGTCTGACCCAGAACCAGAGGAGAATGAAGACCACCACATCGTAGATGGTAAATCCAGACCTTATTTAGAAGTTTTGTCAGAAATACTTTGTTCTAAAGTAGGGATGCACTGATACGAAAATTTCAGCCGATATTGATATCCGATATAATTATTGCTGTTATGGCCGATGGCCGATATTTACCGATTTTACACAAACATACAAATTATATTATACATATACACACAAACACTTGGGTCTTTTTTTTGATACAGTAAATAAATGGTCAGACCTCTGACATAACTCTACTTCAGTTTAGGGCTGCCACGATTAGTCGACGACTAATCGATTATTAAAATAATCGATGACGAATTTAATAATCGATTAATAGTTTTCTTTTTTTTTTCTTCTTTACTTTGTTTTTCTCTCCAAACTGCTTTGACACCTTCCACTGCCACATCTGCCTTTCTGTCCTTGACACACATGCACAGTAGTGGTAACTGGGGTAGGCTGTGGACGTCACAAGACATTATACAGACAAGCTCTGGTATCATGGCTACCTATGGAGCTCAAAAGTGTGGGATCATTTTAAGAAAATGAAAGAGAAACCTGTGCAATATCTGCAGAGCAGAACTTACCTTCCACAGCAATTATTTTTAGTTAGCATATAGCTAAAATCTAACGATAGTTATATAATAGCAGCTGCATTCTGGCGCAATAAGCTCTATGTTTTATATTCAATTAAAGTATGATCCGATTAGTCGACTAATCGAAAAAATAATCTGTGATGAATCGCTTATAAAAATAATCGTTTGTGGCGGCCCTACTTCAGTTATTCCTGGCTACGCAGCATCAATATCACTATTATGATCAAACAGATGCCGCTCAACCAACCATCTCTCGTCCCAAAACAGAAACACAAAGCTAAAAAGTGGGAAATCAATATCGGACATTAATATCGGCCCAGTTTTACATATTGGACCGATAGATATTCTAAAAATTTACCAATATCTGCCGATACCGATATCAATACTGATATATTGTGCATCTCTATTCTAAAGGTTTAGAAAACGTCAAAGAAAATAGAAAAAACTGAACAGGTAGAAAAATATGACCCAAACAARATATAAAGACTTCAAGTACACAAAAATAAACACATTTAACAGCTAAAAAAGTGGAATTTGCATGATATTTCCCCTTTAAATTTCTCCATTCACTATTCTTTTATGGTTTATCATGACATTTAATGTCTTGATAAAACTGGAAATAACCATTGCCTTAAATATGTTTATACAAGAAGTGATGCTTTTTAAATATCAACTCATGGATTTTTAAATAACAGATAAAGTTGTTTTAGATTAGTACACCCTCTTGCGTGGATTAAATGTTTATTTTCTATTTATTGATGCTTGGATTGTAACATGCAATATGTTTCTTTATTAATATATGGATCTAATATTCACAGCAAATAATAATGAATTTTAACCCATTAAAATCATTGTGTAATCATGTAATTCAAGTTTAACTAAAGCAATTTGTTTTTTGGCCACAGTTATAACAAACATCATCTGTCTTTTTTTCTTCTGCCTACCTCTGCAGCTCATCCTCTGTCTCTAATCCAGATTCATCATTATCATCATCTTCATCTCCTGTGAAAAAAGAAAAATTCAGCTGATTTCATTTTTCAGCAGATTCATGTAACGAGTTCCATTTTTCTCCCCCCTAAAAATGAAAATAAAAATCAGGTGGTGGCAGAGAATTGTGTTAAGTTAAACATTTTTATAATTGAACACGAGTTCACAGACGACTAAAAGTGCAGTTACTGAGCTGTGGCCCCAATCTTCAAACTAATTAACTACAATAATGTCTGAGAGGTAAATCTGCTTTAAATTCCCTGGCCATCTGGAGGGGATGAGTTTAACAACTTTTAAAATGCCAGGTGAATCCACATCTCCATGAAACATACATCATTAGGTAAAACCTTGCTGGCAACAAGACGATTACCATAAAATCCTGCGTTGATGAAAAAAAAGGGTAGAAAAAGGAGAAGTGAGTCTCTTTAAAATGCRGTCCCCATATATGGTGTGTCAGGGTGAGTTGTCTCATTTTATTGACGCATCTAAGCACTTTACTTCTGGCCTCACATTAACATAGAAATGAGAAACATGCACAAGTCCCTGTGCAGTGATTTCACATCMCCTCCATTCCTGTTTTTTCCTCAAACTGCACCTATAACACGTCAGGTACTCAAGTCCTTTCCACCAAGGCGTTGTCAACCATCCACCTCCGAGAGCCTCATAAAGGTTAGTCCTTTGGTCTAATCCCTGACCTCTCAAACTGTCCCCAAGCCCCTCTCTTCAGCTCCAGTGCTGCCTCCTCATTCTCTRGTTATTTGAGCTAATAGATTCAATCACCATGTATGAGTCCCAGCTAATTTATCTCAGCCTTAAATTTGTTTTATTGCATWTACACAGATGACTTTCTTGTTTATTTGTTAGGGGAATAGCAGTTTAATTTCAGCTTTGGTTATTAGATGCACAATAATTAAACTAAAATGTGTCAACACTTTATTTGGAGTTGCATTGTCTGTGATTAATGTTTACTGCTGTATTTGGTGACAACCTTGAGGCAGYGCAGGCAAATAATTGCACTAAAGAGCAAGAAAATAAAAACTGAAACCGATAAATTATTCTGTAGTGTACAACCCTAATTCCAACGACATGTAAAACAAATAAAAACAGAAAGCAATGAGACTTGCAAACACTTTCAATCTATATTCAARTAAATACAAGATAATTAATGTCCAAACAAATACAACTTTTTTTTATATTCACTCATTTTGAATTTGATGCCTGCAACACGGTTAATAAAAAGCTGGGGCAGGAGCAACAAAAGACTGGGAAAGTTAAAAGATGCTAAAAACACCTGTTTGGAGAATTCCACGGGCGAACAGTTTAATTGGAAACAAGTGAGTGTCATGATTGCGTATAAAAACGAGCATCCTTGAAAGGCTCGATCATTCACAAACAAGGATGAGTCAAGGTTCACCACTTTGTAAACAACCGTGTGAGCAAATAATCCAACAGTTTAGAATCCTTGGGCCTCATGCAAGAACATGTTCGTATTCTTATCCTAAACTTCTCTTACTTTTGTTCGTACGAACATGCAACATCAGATTCAACAAACTCTTCTATCTTCAGGAAAAGTGTGTAAATGAGGAGCATAAACTAATGAATGCGTATCCAGGTGCTCGAGCAGGGGGAGAGGTGATTTACATAATTACCACCCCAAAAAACCCCATATAAGGATATATGTGTCCTGCCACACATGCCAGGAAGTGTTCATTCATAAGTGACATCGCAAAGTAAAAAAGAAGAACTAGTTTGGAAATAGAAGTTCTGCTCTCGGGAGATCCACAAAAAAAAGAGTCATTTTTAGCAACGTCAGCTGTAGAATTAAAGGATCTGCTTTAAAGCCGAGGAATGAAATGACGACTGCTGTTAATGTCGTGTCTCCTGTGGGTCGTACAGTCACAGAAATAAAAATCTAAATCATATTTATCTCTCTGTTTCTCTGTAGTCCTGCACTGGTTTTTCTTTGGTCAAATATTTTTATTTCAGTGTAAACTGTGTTACATGTTTCACTTATTCAGGGGAGCAGTCGCGCAATTTTGTTCGTATCTGAAGAAAATCTTAGAATACAAAAACATTGGTGAATGCCACAAGTTCTCCTAAATCACTTGTAGCACAACTTAAGAACAAATCTGTGCGTATGAATGGTTCTTGCATGAGGCCCAATGTTTCTCAACATACAATTGCAAGGAATTTAGGGATTTCATCATCTACAGTTCATAAAATCATCAAAATATTCAGAGAATCTGTACAAATCTCTGCACGTAAGCAGCAAGGCTGAAAAACACACTGAATGCTCGTGACCTTTGACCCCTCAGGCAGCATTGCATTAAAAAACATCATTTTGTAACAGATGTCACCCCATGGGCTCARGAACACTTCAGAAAACCATTGTCAGTGAACACAGTTTGTTGCTACTACCATGTAGGGTTGGGGGATATTGGCAAAAAAAATTAATCACTATTAATTGTGGTACTTAGCTGATCATGATTAACATGATGACTAATCCCCTGGAGTCCCTGGAGGCATGCCTGACCAATTTAAATCACTCTGGTGGGAAAGATTTGCTCTCTGTAACAATCTGTTCCAAATTGTGTCAAAAGTACAGACTTCAGGATATACATCAAATTTTAAATTGTGTTGATAGACCAAGCAAAACCAGAGTTATGATAAATCAATCACAGAACTTTTAAAAAAAATGTTTGTCATATTTGAAGCGGAGAGGAGCATAGAGTGGAAATCTCCAGTCAGTCTGCCTGGTGGTATTAATCATATTAATTGTCAAGTGCAAAAAAATAATCAAATAAAGTTTTTTTGATGAATAATTGAACAAGATATGAGGAAAGACTGTCCAGATTGTTATCAGTGCAAAGTTCAAAAGCCAGCCTCTCAGATGGTATATATTAGTGCTCATGGCATGGGTAACTGTCACATCAGTGAAGGCATCATTAGTCCTGAAAGGTACGTACCAGATTTCGAGCAACATCCATTTATTCTTACCTGCTGTTATTGTCCTTTAAAATACTTTTTGTTGAGTGTTGTGTGTTTGTTAGTAGATATGTAGTAGATATGCCTATACCATGATAGTTAGGTTAGAGGATATTAAAGATAACTTKAACATATGCTGCCATCCAAGTCAAGTCTTTATCAGGGACTTCCTGCTTATTTCAGCAAGACAACGTCAAGCCACATTCTGCAYGTSTTCCAGCTGCATGGCTTCGTAGTAAGTGTGCGGGTACTAGACTAGCCTGCCTGCGGTCCAAACCTGTCTCCTTTTGAAAATGTGTGGCATATTATGAAGCGCAAAATACAACAACAGAGACYCCTGGACTGTTGAGCAACAGAAGTTGTTCAACAAGCAAAGCTTCAACTATTAGTTCTTAGAACCCAAAAGCTTTTTGAGTGTTGTTAAAAGGAAAGGTGATGTAACAGTGGTAAACATGCCTCTGTCCCAGCTTTTTTGGAATGTGTCGCATTCAACAATACATGTTTGACTGCATCTTTTTTTAGTCAGCCTCTACTCTCCAAACTGCTCACTTCTTTCCCTATATTTGAACATGGTCGTTCTATTTGWGCCATGTGAGCTTTACCTATAAACCAACTGAAAAATACTTTCAAGTCTACAGTTTTGTAGCTATTTAACAAAAGAAATGTTTACTGGTAATTGAGGCCAGCTGTCCCTGTAGTGTTAAAGAGAGTAAAATAAAACAATGTTGAACATAATTCATGAAGCGATTACCTGGTTCATCCACATCAGTAGAACCACCGTACTCATCAACCTCATCCTTCTTTTCTGGGGTCTTTTTAGGGGTCGCTTGTCTCTCCTGCTTCTGTGGAGTCTGCAGAAACAAAATGGACCTGGAGTGTTAAAACTGACAGGTTTTCTCCCTTTATTATATTTATTGGCGCACTTAAAAAAAACAAATTGACCTTTGTTTTCATTTCCTCTTCGCTCTCTTCGTCCACCTCCATTTCACTCTCTGAGCTAGACTCAGCTCCATCCATCAAATAGCTGGAGGAATAAGAGAAACAAAATGTGTCGGGTTATAAAAAGGCCAGACAGAAAAGAACAACTCAACAATATATCTTGGTTCCCATCTCTTTTACTTGTACAACATGATTCAAAGTGTAGTGAGGCCTGGTCAGGGAAGACTGCAACTAAAAGCCGATTTCAGAGTGAAGGTGATGTTTTTGTACCAGATGCATCAGTGGTGTTGGGTTTAAAACGTTACTAGCAACTGAGAATTAGATATTTTACAATGACGAATGAAAGAAAACAATATTTAAAATAAACTCTTTTATGAGAATAACCATGACTACTTTATTAAAGCTGCGTACAAAAGACTAAAAAGTGTGTACRGAAGAACAAGGGCTAAATGGTCTTCAAAGTCAAAAATATAATTTCTCTGTCAGTGATTGACTGACAAGCTGTATTAACGAGGTCGAACACCTCAACACACCTATTCGACATTTATCCCTAACCTTAAAGTCAGGTGGAAGTTATCCGCATGGAAGTGTGAWGTATAGAGTTGATATGCCATAGATATGGTGAGATCATTTTCCTGCACACACACACACACTATAGTCAGACATTTTACTGACCTATGCTTGAGCCAGGAAATTGGAAAATGAAAAATGAGGTCATGGACGAGGGCAGTAATGCAGAACCTGCTGCTTATAACAGCAGATAGTGCTATCAGACAAAAACAGACCAATATGCCTGATCTGCTATGCTCATCAAACTCAGGAGAGGGGATTTATTTGAAAGAGTAACACTGAGTTTAACTAAGTTTAACTTTACTTTAAGCTTGAATATCTACTTTTTTGTATTAAATAGAGTACAAGAATCAAAGATATTYCTCTAAACTTAGCTTACAGAAGAGATAAACAATAAATAGCAAGATGCAGAAAAAAGCCTCTATCCTTCCGAGTAGACTGTGTTAAATACCTTTATTAATAAATAAAAGCTACTTTATAAATAAAATCAAATACAATATGGTAATCAACACATTAACTTAGGTTAGCATATAAAGTACAAAGTATAAAAGTACCAAAAATTAGGGCTGCACAATATATTGCAAATTTATCATCAATGAGATAAAACTTCGTTCAATAGGTGTATTGCATAAAACTGCAATAAATGGTTGGCTCAAATGTTGCATTTATGCGTTTTGTCACACAAAAGCACCAATCAAATGGATCTCTTTCCATTATATACCCACCCCCCTATGTAGACATGGATGGATGGCAAATAACTTAGCCAGCTTAGTGGGAGTTGCAATGAGAGCAAGATAAGAGAGGAAAATGTTAGTGACAAAGAAACTGTGGTTTAAAAAACAGTGTGTCTGAGATAACTTGGTTCCAATAGAGACCATGTTCTACAGACGCAGGTACTCTGCAAAACATGATGAAAACTAGTGGCAACTGCGATTGGAAACACCTTCAATACAACCATAAAGAACTGTATGAAGAGTTCCGAAAGGCTAGCTATAGCAAAACCAAAGCTGCAAAAGTTAGAAGTAAGAGCAAACCAGTTCAGCAAACATCGGTGTATCAAAGTTTTATAAGAGGAACTCTTTTTGATAAAAAGGATATGATGGMTGGTCAACTCCAACGAAACAACTTGCAGTTGGATTAAGGTTTATTACCTTTTATTTACAATTCTTTAACTTACTTAGATGTTTTTATTATTTATTTTAAAATAACTAATAGTAAGGGGTGTTTTTCAGTATTTAGAGCATCAGAAATTGTTTTACGAGGCAATGTTTGAAAGTCATTAAGAAACTTTATTTATGCAGTTTGTTGTTTCAATTTTACTACAGTAACWGAGTCTAGTTCAGGCATAGGCAATCCTGGTCCTTGAGTGCCGCTATCCTCAATGTTTTGTTTCTCTGCTCCAACACACCTGATTTCAATGAATGGGCAATTATCAGGTTTCTGCAGAACTTGGAAGAGGTAATTTAATGACTGAATCAGGTGTGTTGGTGTAAGGGACAAAAGAAAACAGGCAGGGCTGCAGCCCTCGAAGACCAGGATTGCACATCCCTGCTCTAGCTGCATTTTTTTAAATAAAGTTGTCACGTTTGAATGGAAATTATGTTTTTTATTTCTTTTTGTTTTGAACAGATGAGCATCAACACCGCATATTTCAGTATTTGTTCATTTATCGCAATATTAAGCATTGTTCAATTCAAAAGTACTTTCATAAATTCAATAAATAAAATCAGACAAATAGAGTAAAATAAAATCTGTTATCACATTAGGTTTTCCTAATGCAATAACACAGTCCTACCACAAAGACTTATATCAGTTTAAGGCTTTAAAATAAGCTTTTCAGGATTCAAGTGAATATACATAAAATAAAAATAAAAAAATTACATTGCAAGGATCATTTAAAAGTATGATCTTATTGATAAAACTGACACATAGGTATTGGATAAATGATGTGTATTACCACTAATAGWTATGATGATGCCTTTTACAACAGGAGGTCTTCAACTAATGCACTTT